CAAGACCGCCCTCTGGCTGTCCAATCAGGGCATTGGCAATGTCTTCCATGTCAAGTAGCTTTATAGCCCTTTCCACATCCTCATCTTTTTGTTCCTGAGGAACAGAGCTTTCTTGACGAAGATAAGCAGAGAAGCGAAGTGCCTCCCTAACAGTTGAATGTGGATTGTGGATATCGAGCTGTTCACAGTAGCCAGTGACACGCGCAAAGCTTTTTGGTGGTGGAATGCCGTTGATGAGCATTTCACCATCAATCTTCCCAATAGTTTTTCGCTGTGCCAAAACATCAAGCAACGTTGTTTTCCCTGCCCCAGATGCACCCATCAGAGCTGTTAGGGTACCAGGCTTAACGAATCCTGTAATCGAGTCCAAAAGTTTGCGTTTACCGCCCTTGACCGGCACAACATAGTTTACATTTCTCCACAGATACAGGGTCCCATCAAGGATTTCTTTGTCTGTTGGGTGTCTATACTCCCTGGCCTTTTCGTCCACCAGCTCTATGCTTTCCATGACCTCGACAGGCGGCTTCACACGCTTCTTGTATGCTTTGATTGTATATCCTTCGCCACCAAATTGTATCCACTCGTTGAGAATCGCAGTCACCGTCACATATGCAACCCACCAACCAAGAACTCCCAAAAACATAGCCCATTTTTGACTAGCTTTGATTGCATATCCCTCGTATATATAGTCTCTGCCTCTGACAATATCAGTTCCTGGCCGTGATCCGGGAAGAGTACAGACTTGGTTTGCAATGTTTCCATATCCTGGGCCTCTGGGGGCCAGCTGGTTTCCAGCGCATGTAAGGATAAGACTACTGAACTCGTTGCCAAACAGTCCACGGAACCCATATGCAATTGGATTGATCCAGTGTATCCAAATGAACCAGGAGCGCATCGATGGATAAGGAATGATATATCCAGCATACAAAACAATAAATAGCAAGCAGATGCCTGAAATGGAGTTTGCAATGTCTATATTATATGATACAGCAGCAACCAACCGAAAGAACGCAGTCAAGGACATGGCCGTCATGAATGTTATTACCATAAAGGTGAAAAAGTGTCCTCCCGTTTTGAATAGTCCAGTAACCCAATAGAATATAGACGAAAAGCACAATATCTGTACTACCATGAACGGAATATCAATGATGACTTGAGCCAGCAGGTATGCTGAGGGATGGTATAGCGCCAACCCTTTATGCTTATACACGATTTCGCGACCGGTTATTGATTTAGGCAGCTCAGCTTGCGCCGACAATGAATTAAACAAGACTGTAAAGAAAACAGCACCGCCTCGAGAAAAGGCGCCTTGGCTAGTGCTGGGCAAGTTGATATACAAAGTTCCAGATATAATGGCAAACGCAATGTTGTAGACATATCGGAATACCAGCCCAATCCTATTGCCCAAGACAATCCTTAACTCACGCTTAATAAGTGCCCAGAATTGATATGTAAAAGTCGTTGTGTATGGCGAGACTCGGCGAATTCTGCTTTTTCCTGCACCCATTTTTGATTGCTGAACGATATCACGGAATTTCTGGCCTGGGTTTTCAGTTTCGATATGATGCTCATAGTTGCGGATTTCTTGCTTTGCGTGCTCATATGCTTCAGAATTTTTGAAAGCAGTAGCAAATTCCTCGGCTGTTTTTGGTGCAGTGTCTTCGTAGCCCCTTTTGACCTGGCGTTCGTGGAGTTGAGCCACGCCAGTGAGGAAATCAGAGGTTGTGAGACGAGGGGGCTTATAGATTCCGAGTTTGTCAAAGTATTCAACTGCATGGTCTGCATGGCCAAAATAAAGACAACGACCCTCATCAAGAACCAAAACCTTGTCGAACAGTTTATAAATATTTTCAGAGGCCTGGTAGAGAGTGACAACAGTGGTCTTCTTGAGCATATCAGTTGAAACACGAAGCGATCGAACATAGTCAAGGGCTGAGCTGGAATCGAGACCACGAGTAGACCCGTCCCACACATTGACAGCCGCGCCCGCAACAATCTGCTCAGCAATACTGACTCGCTTACGCTCACCACCACTGCATCCACGGATGAAAGCATTGCCAACAATAGTATCAGCACAGCTTCTTAGACCAAACATGTCAATAACAGCATCAAGCAACTCAGTTCGGAATGCAGATCTATCCCTAAGGACACGGCGACTGGGCATCTTGCATTCAATAGCAAAACTCAGGGTAGTCCTGACTGTCAGCTCGGGGTAGTGCAGATCTTCTTCCTGGTTATAGGCAACTTCTCCACGGAAATTTTTGTGCATTTCTTTAGGTCCAATACCGCCATATGAAACATCCCCATCTATTCGTGAATATGTCCTCCGATCATTGCCAAGTACACGTAGTAGGGTAGAGCATCCGGAGCCAGGCTTACCAAGGACTAGCAGCATTTCGCCTTCGCTACAAAATCCACTTATATCATGGAGAATGCATTTCCCTTTGCCTTGGAAGACTGGACTGAACCCAAATACAACCAAAAAGCTATTGACCACCAACAAAAATATATCCCTTATTGTTCGCAGGAAATGGTAAAACGGCGTAATCAGCGTTTGGATATGCTGCGTGGTGTCTGATGATCCATAAACATATAAATTGTTAAATACCAGCCCAAGTTTCTTTGCATATTCTTCGTCTGGAGCCGATTCTCGGTTCCGCATCCAAGCAGAGAGGTCAAAAAGAAGCCTTCTGTCCCCTGCTTCTTGTTGAGATAGTGACATTGGTTTTGATAGAGAGCGCTGGATTGATCGATAGCGAGTATTGGCATTTTTGAGACTGACTTCCAGGGGCTCACCAAAGGAATTGGTTGCTTCGTCTTCGGTGTATCTCTTTTGTATTTTACACGCCATCTCTCGAGCATGCTGGTCACCTGCAGTGGTTACAGATCCCGACTCTTCTGCTATCTCGTCAGCATCTGATCCTGTGCGCCGCCGGCTTGACTTTCTTCCCATCTTTTCTCCATATCCTGCTGTGGCCCTTGTTAGTTTGTGATCGCCATCTCCTGACTTTTCGTGGACACTGCCACGTAAGGATATCGGAGTTGACGATCCGCTATGATCGTCATCATTGTTTATTGTGCCTTCACCACCTTGGTGAGATTCAGAACTGTTCTTTTTGGTGTTATCGCCCATTATTAGAAAAAGACGATCACAGTCTTAAATTTGCTCTAATATATATATATATATATATATATAACCTGCGTATGTGGATTTACTCTTTATCTGTTTTATATACTTTAAAAGATATGTAAATAAGGTTGATAAAAAAGGTTAAACTACTACCACTACTCATGTACCCTGACAATTTCAATCTTTAGAGGCACAGAAAAGCGTGGACTACGCACACAACCACATACACGTGGATCTCACCAATGATGCCGTGGTAGATTATAACGGACTATAGTTTGGGCTGAAACTTTACCAATATGACAATGCTGTCTCTCCCATGCGACCCCGGCCAAATGATTGCTTTATACCGCATCGCCCATATGGGCGATTTTGCTCGTGGAAAATTGGTATCTATATTTTTATTGGTGTATAGAGCACATCAGTTGCGGCCTCAATAAAGTACCATATATATATTCGCACAAAGAGTTACTCAATGGTTTGAAAAGCGAAGCTAGAGATTAGCCATGGATATTAGTGGGCTAAGCCATGTATGTTTTTATATCCGCCAAATGTCCAAAGTTGTTGTTTTTGGTGGTTACACAGACACATAGCAAACCATTACTTTCAATAAGATATATACATGGATGGCATGCTTCTACAAATTGATCAACACCACTCATCTTTAGATTCAAGACAATTTGGCAGAGAGTGCCTCCTCCACTCTAAAAGTGGAGTATTTTGACTCCTTTTATGGGGAGGAAAATCGACCAAATGACTAAGGATCGTTAAACATCAACACCCAGAAATTTCTAGTATAGATATAGAATTATACGCCCCATTTTTGGTTGTATTTTTTGAATGGGAGCTACATTTTAATAGCAGACAACATGCAAATGTGTACGCGTTTAACTATTTTTTTCTTTTTTGTAGACTAAACTCAACATGGCAACCAATGTGCGTTTATATGTGGGAGGCCACTTGAATGCAAACCCAATGGATATATGCACGACGGTATATAACTTCAAAGATTGCATCTTGACCAAGAGAGAATAAAACTCAGACATTTTGTAGCAGAATACCCCAATATGATGTTACGAGGCCCTTTATTTCATTTGGTCAAATTTGACTACTGATTAGCCACAGAATGGCTGTGGGTGGGTTCCATCAAAATATACCACAAATTTGAATAATTATTATTAAAATTTGCACAAGTTCTGATGTATGTAAAGATATATGACCAAGGTTCACAGGGTTTTAGGTAAAATGGGTCCCCAAGAGTAATTGCATATGAAATGGCTGATGGTTGGACCAGCATAATATTATTGTTATACCGGTTACTATGCAATCTGGCTCAATATTGGATATACTCATAGTTACTCTCGATATTTGATCACAACCAAAGCCGTGTCCTATGTGATGTATTTTAATAAACCAAAGTAGCACATTGAGCTAGTTAACCATGTTACAAAGATAAATGTCAAAACAAAAAAAAGCCAATAATAGATTAATAATACGAGAATATTTCACAAGTGATAAAGTGTAGGGTAGTAAGAAATGGGTCCTTGGGGTTTGGTCCAATGGTGAGTCAACCCATATACAGTTCCTGGGCATCCATTTTTCCCAAAGCCTTGTAAACTTTGATCATTTATCTACCAAAGTCTAATGAACTAGAAGTCTATGTTGTTTTTTATCGATCACCAAGTCAGCCTAACACAACATCGACCTCCCCCCAGAAAAAACAAATCACGATTCACCTTGACAGAACCCGCATCTGTGTCTGAACATATCTCTTCTTTTGGGTGATTTTTTTTGGTGGGATATTCACCACCGATCTCCGATTTGTCTTCCTACAGCAAAATGACGGTGCCGGCAACGGTGGGAGCAAAAGGAATGCCACTTACAGGGATCGAACCTGTGACCTTCGCGTTATTAGCACGACGCTCTAACCAACTGAGCTAAAGAGGCAAAGCAAGTTGAAAATTTTTCAAAGTCCGCGGGTGCGCGAATCCAAGGCATCGTAGTACATTCAGGCCACAATTTGTGCCGATTTCTATAAAATGTGCACAATAATCGAGTCATTTTCAGCCAAGAATTGATAGAAAGCATTCATTAAACTGGTATAAACATGGTGAAAAAGCCAACATACCTTGGGTGTGCAATGGAGCAAATAATGCATGGGTAATGAGGATGACATGGACTCTCACTGAGTACCAAAGGGCTATAAAGTGGCCAATATGCCACTATTGGGCACCAAAGTCTAAATAAAATGGGGCCTTGGAATACAACAAATGAGCATAGTTTAATGTGCTATATAAAAGTCATGAAAATATCTAATAAAGAAACGAGTATCAGAGGCAAGAGATACAAGCATAACAATAATGGACACACGCAAGGTGTGCCAGTGGGCTTGCTTAGTTTTGTTTTGTTTACGTTGCAATTGACACACACCACCATTGTTGTTGACTTCTTCCATCCTTCACCAACAGCAGCAGAAACCGATGGTCAAAGCCACGCAAAAGGAGCGCGAATCCCACACAGTTTCTTACTACCAAATAGACGCGCTTTCAAGCATTACAAACCCAAAAACAAACAATTGTGGAGAAATGTCCAATTCCACAGTGCCCTTCTTTGATTGAATTGGCTGATCTCAGGCTCTTGCTATTGACATAAAATGGACACAGGCTCAAAAAGATACGCTTAGGCATGCGCATCTTGCAAAGTTCATTTATGGCGTTTTTGAGTTTGTAATGTTTGGAAGCTTCAGAATATAGAAATAATCGGATCAATGATTATGTATTTCATATACCAACGGTATTAGAATGCTATTTTGAATGTCTGTCTATCTACGACATGATTCAAAGTTAAGCCCAACCTTATGTTTAAATATTTAAATATTATAGAACTTATTAAACAAATATTTGGGCAATAATTTTTGAAGGGATAATTTTGGTGACCAATGATTATAGGTGAAGTCACAGCCAAATGGGTGTCTAGTTTTACTAGTAAACATTCACCCTTCAAAAATTATTACCCATTTAAAAACAATAAAAAACAAAGTCATTTACACTAACAAACTTATATAAAAGGGAAACGCGGCATTTAATGGCAAAGAGTGGAAAATTTCGATTTACCAGGCGGCCTTTGCTATAATTGAGTTTGGTTTCGTACGAACGGCCAACTTACGAAGCTCATCAAGAATTAAAATACCAAAAGCGAATCCCAAAGGAATAAACCAAAACATTGCAGGAACAGGTCTAGTATGGAATATGTTGTTGATAAAGGGAACATAAACAATGATAACAGCGATTCCCAAAGACACGGCAATACCGATAAACAGACGAAGGTTCTTGCTTGGGCCAAACAAGGGATTCTGGTGGAAAATGCTGACCCTTCGAGTTCGAGTGGCCAACAAGTTACCAAACTGACAAACAACAAGGGTAACAAAGTATATACTTTGACCAGTGTACCAGAAGTCATCAAGCTGATCTTTAGTGTATCCCATGAATCCATCTGTCCATTTATCAAATGCCAGCAACAACTTGCTCATTGGAATGCCATGGTAATGGTACATGTAAAAGAAGTACATGGCATGGGCGCAAATAAACTCAATCATACCCAAAAAGAAATAGCAGTGGGCAATGAATTTGAAATTGACCAATCTGTCTTTCTTGGCATCTCTTGGTGGACGCTTCAGGATATCGGACTCCGGTTTCTCGCTGATAAGAGTGACTGAGCAGGCAACATCGGTCAAAACACAAATGACAATCATGAAAAATGCTGACAAGGGAAGTGGAACACCAAGGAAGATGTTGATCAGGATTGGCAAAAGCTCAGAGAACGAACCAGCAGGAATCAAATACAGAATAACTTTCTTGAGGTTGTCAAATGCTAAGCGTCCGTTCTCGATACCAACCAGAAGGGATGAGAAGTTGTTGTCTAAAAGAATCATACCAGCAGCCTCTTTGGCAGCTTCGGAGCCGCCACCCATTGCAACACCTACGTGGGCTGCTTTGAGGGCTGGCGCATCGTTGATTCCATCGCCCAGGGCAGCAACAATATAGTCTCTTTCACGCAATTCGTTGACAATACACAGCTTTTGCTCAGGAGTTGTACGACAGAAAACCACCTCTTGGTAACGGCAAATAATATCCCAGTGCACATTGGCCAGGCTTGCAATATTTGATCCAGTCAAAACCAAAGAAGCCAAGATAATATGGGGTGGTAGGTTGCTTATTTGCTTTTCTTCTTTGACCGAGGACCTTTCGACATCAGCAAGATCAGAATCATTGTGATAGTATGGCGGTGAAACAGTATAGGAAGGTGGCGATTGCTGATGGCTGTTCTCCGGAGAAAGAGAAGTTTCCAAATTGCCGTCACTATTGTGGGCCTTGACTGTTTGTTGGCTATCGATCCTTCTAGCCTTACGTCCTTGTAGAGCCAGCATCCTAGCACCGACTGTATCTGGCGACAATTCGTTGCTGTCCTTATCACCCTCTCTGTTAGCTCTTGAGTATACGTCTTCCAATACTTCGACATCGCTGTGAGTAATGATGCGGCACTGTCTAGCAATTGCTACTGCTGTCAACATGTGATCACCAGTAACCATCATCAACCTGATTCCTGCTCCGTTGCACTTTTCGACTACTTCAGGGATCTCTGGACGTGGGGGAACAGTTATACTCACCAATCCAACAATGGTCAAGTCATTGTTGTTATAGTTGGAAAGAGCCTCTATGCGGGCTGGATCTTCGATAAGCGAGCTGTTGAAAACCTTTGGGTCAAGTTGTTTGCGACAAACCATCAAGACACGCTGACCATCAGTGGACCAGTTGGTCTCGATCTCGCGGAGCTTCGAGACAACGTTTTCATCCAGGTGCACGATGTTTCCTGAACTGTCGATGATGTCCTTGCAGCGACTAAGAAGCACGTCTGATCCACCCTTCACTACCATGAGAGGAGAATTGGAACCGGTGGTAGCTTGTTGACCATTATCGTCAGACTGAGCCTGGCTTTGATCATCTTTGGTGAAGATGGCCATCATCCATTTGTTACGTGAGTTGAATGGAATCTCGTACATCTTTTTGTACTGCCTGGTCACGCCATTGACAGGGCTTAGCTCCTCGGCGAATCTTAGTAGGGCAGAATCAGTAGCATCGCCAATGATCTTGCGTTCAGAAACTGGCACACCATCACCACTTGGGGCAGCATCAAAGCTTGCATTGTTACATAGAGCCACGGTCTGATGCAAAAGCTGGATCATGATGTTGGAGCCCCTCGAAAATTCGTCAGCAGCTTCCTGGCTATTGTATATCTTGTCGATGGCAGCGATGTTTTGGACATACATATCGCTCTTTGTGATGGTTCCGGTTTTATCGCAACAAATGACATTGACGGATCCAAGGGCTTCGACGGTATTGAGGCTCTTGACCAAAACCATCTGAGACTGCATTCGCTTTGCCATCATACTCAGCGTCAAGGCAACGCAGATCGGTACTCCATTTGGCAGCACACCGACCAAGATGGCGATAATGTTGACCATAGCAGCCGAAGGACTAAGGAACCCGGGATAAGTTGGTCGAAGCCAGGCTGCCCAAACGATGATGCTCATGGCAGCAAGGCTAAGAGCAAGAGCAGCAAGCATAGCAACAAACCTGTTGATTTCGCGTTGCAAAAGAGTCTTTTCTTCGCCGCGAGCCATAGAAACCTCGGCAATCCTTCTCATAACAACACGGTCGCCAGTCGATACGACGATACCAGTGGCACTGCCGTTGGCAACAAAGGTGCCCATCAACGCAATGTTCCTGGTTTCCAAGTAGTTTGTGCTTGTAGCATTGACAGTCCCGTAGATGACTTCAGCCTCACCGGTCAGGGCCGAACGATCGAAACTAAGGTCTCTAGAAACATCGCCAACCAAACGCAAATCAGCAGGTACTTGGCTGCCGGTCTTCAATTTAACGATATCACCGACCACAAGATTGGAAGCCAGGATGCTCTGTTCCTGGCCATTATCGCGAACAACAATGCACTCTGTTGGCAAAATGTCGTTTAGTGAATTCATGACCTTCGATGTGGTCCATTCTTGCCACATGTTGAATGCGGTCTGGATAGCAATGACTAGGAGCAAGACGATGGCAAGAGCCATATTGATAGGATCCGGAGGATCACCCAAAGGTTTCCAAGCAATCCAAGCGACTATGACGCCAAACCAAACGAGGGCACCCAAACCGCCAAATATATAATACAGGGTTCTTGACAGCAAGTGACTTGGAGTCGGCGATAATTGGTTTAAACCATCGCGGCTCATGTTTTCGGCCACTTGGCTTTGACTCAACCCCACGGTCGGATCACTACCGTATCTTTCAAACAACTCCTTGGGGTCTACCCGATGATGATCTAGCCTGGCAAATTCGTCTTGAATGCTAGCACGGATTTTGCGAGGATCTTCGCGAGACTTGCCAAACATGAAGAACCAACTGACCCAGTACTTCCATGACATCCATGTCGATATGGCCTTATAAAATCCACCGCGACGGCCTCGTTTTGAATTCAATGAATTGTCGTCCTCATCATAATCTTCTTCTTCTTCATCATCGCTATAGCCACTCTTGCTTCCAGATTTGCTATGTTTTTTATAACTCCGGTGGCGGGCTGACGATCCACCTGTTAAACTTCCACGAGATCTGTTGACCGATGTTTGGTATTCTTCACTAAGCTGCATAGACAGCGTACGGAATTCTATAGGAATATGGACATCGATGCTATCTTTCTGGACTAATACGGATGATGGTTGTGGGCCAGATGTTGTATCGACTTTGGGACTGTCAAGAATCTGGATTTCTTCGGGATTATTTTTTGCAGCAGCTGGTGGTGAGAGTGGTGGTGATGGTGGTTGGATTGCAACTGGAACAACGGAAGGCCTTTGTCCATCGTTGTTTTTATCGTTATTGCTGTTATTACTATTGCTA